ATTGAATTTTTGCTATGAAAACTTCTGATATAGCCGATCCAGCGTTAAAGGTTCTATTTAATTCTAGGAGACGAAAATTGAAATAACGGAATGTAAAAGAAGCATTTACAAATGTGATAAAGCTTTGTTTATGCTTCTATTACTTTCTCATTATACATTCGACTTACGCTCCGATTTTTATTTTCATCAGGGAAGTTATTATGACAAAGATACTTTCGGTTTGCCATTACCTTCCGAGAGATGACATCAAATAAAATTTGATATCGGGCAGTGACAGCATCAATACAGCGCGGTAATAATAATTGGTGCGCAAAAAAAAAATATATATATATAAAATTATCTAAATAAAATTTACATATTATAAATAAGGTTGATGTTCATCAATCATTGCACATCTTCATAATATGTAAATTTAATAATATATATATATATTTTTTTTTGCGCACCAATAATTACCGCGCTGTATTAATGCTCTCATTTTTGCCCAATCCAATCCAATTTAATCCAATGGCGCGACCATTCCAAGTCGGGACAAGGCCTACCTCTCATAAATCATACGTATACCTGTGATACATGCGCATGCAGATTGTACACAGAGACATATCCTACAATTTAATGCCAATTCCAGTCAGAACGGTAGTTTTTGAAAGATTTTCTTGGCAATAGATATTCTTGGTGGTTTGCCACACTACCGAAGAAGAGCTACGAGCGCGTGAAAAATTCTTTGAATCTGCCTGGGATTGAACCCGGGATCTCTGGCATATAGCAGTCTCGTGCGCTACCTATTGCGCCACGCTCGTGCTCCATTGCCTATTATAGTTTTTAAGTCTGAGAGCGCGATTAATATTTAAATTTTACATTTTTGATATGTGTGTTTTGAATGCTGGGTGGATTTGAATTCAGATCTTTGGGCACACAGAGCAGCCACGCAACGCTCTAAGCCACGATCACCACACTTACTTTTTCTTATTTTTAATGCAATGTAGACAAATAATGTAAACAAAATATAAGATAAAATTACGAAGAAACGAAGATTTACAAATCTGTCTGGCAAATCTATCTGGCGAGGTTGAAAAAAAATCATTTGGTATAAATGAAGAAAAAAATATCTCAAGAAAAATTAACTATAAAATTACGTATAATAAAAAATATATAAAATGTATATTAAGATATACATTTTATTGTAATTGTTAAAAATTTCGTTCGTTTAAAAACTTTCGTCCATTACAGTAAATTAATAGATTTCTATTTTTTTTAAACTAAAGAAAAAATCACTAAAAAGGATATTTTGAAAATGTATTAGGATATATTAATTATGTAGATTGTACGTGTACGTATAGTATATTTTTTTCATTTATTAGAATTCTAGAATTGTATTCTAAAATTTTTGAAGATTCTATATTTATGGGGAAATATTTTAATACTTTTAATCTATAGAATAGGTACGTAACGCTAATTCTTAAGAAATGTATAATTTTGCACCAGAAAAATCATTCATCATTAAAATATTTTAATCCCTAATCAATTTTTATTAATGAATTAATATCGACACTGAAGACAGAATGAAGATCGATACGTATCGAATGCGCGCGTGTTGAAAAATTGGTAGATTAATATTAAAATAAATTAGTTATTCATCGGAAAACGACGTCCCTGTCATAATGGGTATCGTCCAAGCGCTTATCAACAAACGCGAGCTCTTTATGACCCCAGTCAGCCAGGAAGAACCGACATGCGTTCCCTGTTTCGAGGAGGTGGACAGGAAGCCTGGTAACCCCAGCAGCTTCGAGGATCTTCATGCAAAAACCAAGGAGCTCTATCCGCAGAACTTCGAGGGAGCATATCTATTATTGAAGAAAACTCTGAGCAAGCACTTCAACGTGACTTATAGGATTACCCTGAGTTCTGTGACACCATATGGCCTCAAAGTCGGTGTGAATTATGTTGGTACCAAGCGGGTAGGATTTACGGAGAAGTACCCAATGATTTCAGGTGAAATTACGCCCAGCGGTAACATGAGTGCCAGCTTTGTGCACACGCTCGGCTGCAGATATAGATTCAAGCTCGCTACACAGATTGTTGACAAGAGATACAAGGCGTTCAGTTCCGGACTGGAGTACCGCTCGGACGACTGTACCTTGGCGCTCACCCTGGCGAATCCAGACCTCATGAAGCTGCACGGCACCCTGGTGTTGCACTACTTGCAGGCAATTACGCCGAGGATTACTCTCGGCACGGAAGTCGCGTGTTTACGTGGTTCTTTAATACCTGGCAGCCAGCAGACAGTGATGTGTGCCGCATTCCGGCACAGTACCGGTCCCACCACGTTGTCCGCCACGTTCGGCGAGGCCGGCATCCATATCTGCTACCATCGGAAAGCGAGCGAGCAGTTACAGCTTGGAGTTGAGATCGAGACAAACACACGGATACACGAGTCTATAGGAACAATCGTGTACCGCGTAGACATCCCATACGCGGACTTTATCTGCCGGGGATTTGTCAATTCGGAGACCAGCATGGGTGCCGTGTTCGAGAAGAGGCTGCACCCGATCCCTGGGGCCTCGTTAATCATAAGCGGTTTCCTGAATCACAAGAAGCAGCAGTTCCGCGTTGGCGTCGGCCTGAACGTCGGCTAAAGTCCCTTAATCTCTGACCAGGAGTAAACAGAACAATACTCTATACTGAAAATTTTGGACATTCAAAACGCTGCCTTCTTCGTAGAATCTTAGAAGCTTTTATTTCATGTATTCCGATATCGTCCGGATAGAAAAGAGATAAGCCGAAATAGAAAGTTTCATGTATATCTCTGATTCAGCTAAAAAAAATCATTTTCCAAAAGTTTGTTTGGATATTGACATATTATAAGCCTCGCATGTACTGGAATACAATTTTGATATGCACTTTTACAAACGAGAGAATATTTACACGCGGAACCTATTAAATATTTATATTATTGTGTTAGATCGTTTGGAATGAAAATTTTTTTTATAATAATATCAAACACAATTATATGTAATATAGTTAACTAATTTCAATTTCACTCATTTGTTTTATAGAATGTAATTTTTTTTATACTCAATAAACAATGAACATTTTTTTAGAATTATGATATTTAAACAATAATGGCTTTGATGGTTTTTAACCGACATTAAGAAGACAAATCAATTATTTTAATCATCTCCGTTAGCTATTCGTTCGTCTAAATTGTCCTGTTCTGCGTGCAAGGCCATAGATTTCAATTTATCGAAATTCGCTTCGAACTTGTCGTTCAGAAGTCCATTTTCATCGGCATATTCTAAGATATCACAGATTAACGGTGATTCAACTCCCAGAACGTATTCACATGTTTTTGGTTCCAATAAAAATAATGATACACTAGATGGACTTGCAGTATGGTTCTCCACACATATTAATTTTACCTAAAACAAGGACAAACGGTAAGGAAATAAAATTATAGATATCTGCAGACATTTATAAAAAGCCACGTTTGATTTGGAAGAAAATTGACACAGATCAAAACTCAAGAATTTCAGCATTTTAAAGCATTTTAAATATTGCGACAGATATCCTAATTTGAAAAATGTTTTTCCAAATCAACAATATTTTTCAAACTTCACAGCAACGCATACTTCGGTTTGTCTAGAAGTTCCAGTCTTATCACAGCTACTTCCATCGCTGTAAAAGTGTGAGAGGTGTTTCCTTAATTCTAATGGTTTGGGTTTCTTCTGTGGATGCGCGGCGATCCATTCCAAATGTTTCTGTTTGTCAAATCTACCAAGATTGACAATCGTCTTTGTACCATCTCGTTCTATGTGGTACTGAACGACAGAACGCCCGTAACAAAACTCGTACTTCCACCAGCCGTTCCCCTAATAATTAAGAAAACACATTGTTAAAAAATATATTGTTCACGAGAACAAAACGAGTGATAGCTAAAGATACATGCTCCGTGCAGGCAATTCTTTCCACTGAGGAAATTCTGGACAGGACTAACTTCGGCAGGACTAATATTCTGATCAGTTTGCATTGCACTGATAGATTCATCGATATTATCATGTTTATCTGGGACATCTAGTGGATGTATCTCAACTCTCACTCTTGGCTCGCCATCCTGCAATCAATTCATTACAATAAATTCGACGCGATAAAACTATGTAATTGACATTTATAAAAAAGATTTGTTTACTTGATTATGAAAAGAATTATCATCGTGCATAAATACAATTAATGTGTAAACTGTACATGATGAACTGTAAATGTAGTATGATATAATAGATTATTTCAAGCGCATATAAAGTAATTACATATTATTATTATTATTGTTGTTATTATTATTATTATGTGTTTCTCATTCAATGTTGTTATTATTATACAACGTAGAAATGATAATGGCAATACAATTGTACAATATTTAAAATATACTAGCAATATGTGTAAGGATAAGAAATTATATGTCATGTAATAATACTAAATATAATTTTATAAATGCCAAAAAAGGTGAATTAAATATTGGTGAAGTAATAGTGGACAACGTATTGGAATATGTAGATTAAGAAGGGACAGAATGAAAATAACATTTGCACAAACTAATAGTACTACATAATGATCAACAAGCATTAATCCTGTTCCCATATATGCAAAATATTCTGACCTGGCCCTCCTTATCTACATGAAGGATTGCATACACTTTCTGCTGCTTGTCATCCTGTGCAACAAATAATTAAGACAGTAAATAAATGGTAAACTGAAACGAAAAGAAAGAAATCAAATGCCTAGTGTCGAAAATTAAAGTTTCGCAGAATACTATTAAAGTGCTATTATTTATCAAAATTATACAAGCTTTAGTTAAATCTAGGTGTATTAATAGTTTAAAGGATAGAAGCAGTGTTCTCTATAGTATTGTGAAATTTTCAGATCTGAAATAATTAACAAATTTTAGTACGTGACACAAGCTTCTCTGCTATTAAGAGGATCTTAAAATCGTCTGTTTTATTGATTTAACAAAACTTACGTCATACAATTTATGTCTCATTGACACATTATTCACTGCATCAATGTCATACGCATTCATACACACAAATTTTTTAAGTAACTAGTCTTTCATATGGTATCTAAACCTAATAATTATTTTAAAAAACTCGAACATTTTATTGACGTAACCCCTAATACAAACCAAAACTGTTTTAGACGTACAAAGTATAAAACTTGTATAGAAAGCAAATATTGTTATGAGTCAGCACCATTGTTTTGAGTCAAGCTGATAACAAGACTAATTTTCCAATTTTTTTCATTTTTAACATAAAATTGACTACATTACTGCTTATACTTTAATTATGGAAAAAATTTTTTAATATATAAAGGTAGTTAAAATATAAAAAATATAAAAAATAATCGCCTTCGATAAAACACACGACTTTAGAATCCCTTTAATACATACCGTTATTTTGCATAATACTTGGCTCAACTAATAAAAAACAGAAAAGACATAGCTACTAATATATATGCGTAAACAAGGTATAAATATGTGTCAAATAATATTTCAAGGAAAGTAGAAAGTAAACAGAAGCTTAATAAAAGAGTCTGCAAATACCAAACTCTTTGCAGATTTACCCTCGCTTGCTGTCGGATTTTTAGACTTTCTAGCTCCATCATCATAAGCGACTTTGGTTTCTTTGGTGCATTATCCACAGGCTGACACGTAATTTGATTCTCCCCAGTGTCTTGTGGTTTGTAATCAGGATGATTGCACAATACTGGCGATAGAACAATCGCTTCATATTCACAGGACATGGTTTCCTTCAGCGAATACACATCGTGTTTACCATGTTTATAACAGACGTACAATACCTTGACAGTTCTCGGTCTGTTATTCAAATCACACATTGTACCGTCAGTCATCTCGATTTCGACGTACGGCATGTTAATCCCGTCAATCTTCTTGATGGGTATATACAACTTCCTGTTTGGATTCTTCGCCTGTTCATCATAATAGGCCGAGAGTTTCGCCCTTTGCGCTTTGTCCAGCGTGCCGAGGTAATATTCTTGCATCTTAATCTTTTTTCCTTCTCTGTCTTCATGATACTGCCGTACGTATCTACCGTGGCACAATTCATAAGTCCAGTATGACTCTAGCTATGTGCCAAAATTAAATTCAAGTAAGAAATTAACGACAAGCGATGTTTATCAATAAAAATCTACACAGTACACTTTATCTCAGGGACGTCCTTAAAGCGTGATTAGACAAGAGATTGAAATTAAAATTGGATTGGAATTTAACCAATCAGAAAAGATAAAATCAATCTCAAATTTAATAAACTTTGCTTTGATTGGTTAAATTCCGATCCGATCTCAATCTCAATCTCCAGTCTGATCATGTCTTTAGGACTTACAGATGTCCCTTGGTCTGTATAAACCTAGTCAGTCAAGTTTGAAAACAAACTGCATCAAATGCTTGCTACAAATTTTGTTGATAAAAAAGTACCAAATTAATGCAAATTCTGTTATATTTAATAACATCAAAATAGTGGTATGTATACAATAAAATCCACTACAAAATGTGAGATCAAATTGTGACAGCAAAGTTTGCTGACAATCTGATAGCAAATTAACAGCAAGAACCAATCAAAACCGACTAAAATTTTGATTGGTTTTTGTTGACAATTTGTTCTCTTATTATGTCAGCAAGCTTTTTTATCAGCACAACACAAGCTTAATGTAGATAAGTTTAATGCAATTGATATCAATTTGCTGAACATTTTGATAGAATTTACCAGCAATTTGTAAGCAAATTGCTAATATTTTGCTGACTACAGTTTATATCATATTTGTCATACAATAAATTTTTCAAATTTAATTAACTATAGAATAGAGATTCTAAACCCTAAAACCTCTGTCTGTTCTCTAAATTCTTTGAAGTAAGATTTAGAGTCAATTAAAAAGCCAGAAAAAGTTGTCATGCGACAAATATAATGTTAAGCTGATGGGAATGTACTACAAAAAGAAATCAGAATCAAAAAAAGAAAAATGAAAATAATAGATGATGTAAATGCCTATGTCGCGTACCCTATAAGAGCAACTATTTTGAGCAAATATCGGTTGGAGTAGCTGTATTGGATTTGGCCCATCATACGTCTCGCTATATTCATGCTCCTGCTCGGTCGCGTCCGGGATGACGCACTTGTACCGCTCGTTGTTGGCGGTGGTTATGAAATACGGCTCCGCGTTCGCGTGAGATTCCTGAAAGGGAGAAAAGGCTCGGAGCACACGTCGAACAAATGACGGTATCGTCGCTCGAGAGTCCACGGGGATCGGTTAGACAAGATCTGCGCCGGGTGTACTCACCAGTAAATCTGCGTCACTCCTCCCGGGCCAGTTGATCTTGAATATGACCGTGTCGTCGAAGTGCCGAAAATCGTGTCCGTGAACGAGGGTGATCAACACACACAACACATTGTAGACATTCCAATAGTTTCCCCACATCTTTCTCGGCTATTCTATCATGTCATATCATGTTTTAATCGCTAATCGCCGCGTATACGCCATACGGTAATGTGCGTCAAACATGTATATAATTGACAGCTGCGCAGCCTGTACTTCGTGTCCGCTCGCGATTGCGCGACGATTAATAGACGGCGAGGAGGGGGACGAACCAGGGTGCGTCTTCATGGAGAAGGAAAAACTAAAAAGAAGTGGTGCAATTGCACATCTACTCACATCGGCCGATATCTAGTAATTTTCCAGTGTACCACCAATGGGTGCATTTAGTACTACGACCGCTCACACTGAGCGCTCAGTGTACTCTTGTATCTGTTTGGTCTAGATTTTAGTTCTAACGGAATTTGCCAATCAGATGCAACAGCTCATTGAAGGCCCGTCTGCAATACACAGAGTAAGAAGTAAGAGTAAGAAATTGACCAATCACAGTCGAATGTGAGAAGAATAATCGACTGTGATTGGTCAATTTCTTACTCTTACTTTTTACTCCGTGTATTGTAGATGACGCCTCAAGCGCTGTGAGTGGCTCGTGTCCAATTGAGCCGAGTTCAACTGGGTGAAACCCGGGCCGAAAACGCTATTTGATTCGTCCATTTCCTATGACTTAAGGCAGTGCTCGCAAGGATTTGCACATTTCGGGACGATTCCGGCGCGCGACCCCTACCACCGCACGGCCGAGCCGCCGGGCGCTCACGTGATTGGGTACATCCAGAAGCACGACCGCTCACTGAGCGCTCGGTGAGCTCTTGCATCTGATTGGCATATTCCATTAGATCGAAAAATATAGACCAAACAGATACAAGAGCTCAATGAGCGGTCGTGCTTCTGAATGTACCTATTCTCAGGAGCGCTCCTATACCAGAAATATACTAGGAGCGCACCTTCGGCCAAATTATTATTAATGTTTTTTTATTAAATAATTTAAATTATATAACTATATTATCTTCAATATGATTGGTCTTGCCCTTAGTTCCTTATTGGATCTAAATGTATAAACCAATCATATTCATGAATTTTACAACAGTTGCAAAGCTATTTTCTCTGCTAAACGCAGCCAATAACAGTGAGCGCTCATTCAACTGTTGAATTCGTTGAACGCAGCCAATGAGCATCGAGCGTCAACATGAAAAGTCACCTTTAGTTAACCAACTTCCGGGAAAGTTCGCGTTTTTGTCGCCAGGTGTTTCCGCTGATTCAGAGTCAACACTCATCACTCTTATCGAGCTTTGACAATACGCGGACGTTCGGTTTCATGACGAGAGATCGGCTCGACGCATCGCGGGATATTTCGCGGAGATTCGGAACAATTTTTTCCCCTTGTTTCTCATCCGTTCTCAGGGCCGACACGAGGAAACGAAACGCGTAATATCTCTCAGTGTTGAACGAAGCAATGTCGGATACACGGCGACGTCGTAAATCCAACCAGTCATGCGGTTCCGACGATCTCTCCGATTCGTACGAGGAGCTAAACGCTACGAAAGAAACCCAAGTAAGTGGAACTCGATTATTGTCGAGAGGATAAGTCCCTAAGAGACAAATCTTGATCTGCGCGAAGGATCCACCCTCGTTTGCTTGGATTAGCGCTACGTTTCCGCGCGCGCTTCGCGATTTTCCCCGCAAACCTCAGGCGAACTTTCTCGAAAGATCGAAGACGAGAATCTCCCCAGCTGAAAACATGCAGCGATTAGGAAGACCGATTATTCAAAGCTTATTAATTTTATCTTCAATCAACGTCATGAAAGTCTATGCTTTATGGCTTAGTCGTGGAGGTCGTGGACCAGTACTGATAGAAATTCTCCAGATATCTTTTTCTTATAAATATATTATTTGTAGTTTGGATGTTTTTTTCTGATACTTCTACAATTTTTTATCAATTGCTTCATCAACTTTCTTGCTTTTAGCTAAGGATACTTTGGCTAACAGAAAGGGTGGAAGGGAGGGAGAGAGGGGGAGAGAGAGAGAGAGAGAGAGAGAGAGAGAGAGAGTGTGTGTGTGTATGTGTGTGTGTGAGTGAGAGAGAAGGGGGAGGGGCGAAATTATTGGCTTTTGATTTGCTTGGATGTATCAATTCATTCAGAATGAGTCTCATCGTTCAATTTATATTATTCTGTTAAAATTACAACTTAGTCTTATTTGTTAGATGATCTCTAGACTTTATTTCATTATTTAAAATTAATTAGCAAGATATGTATTATTGGATATTAGAATTAGTGAAAAAATGTTACAGTTAATCAAATCTTTCGTTTGCAGAAAATTAACTGTTAATCTGCCAAAGAATTATTGCAAGATTAATTGCTAGTTCAGATATATATTTTAATATATACTGTACAGTTTTATACTTAAAAAAATATGAAGAATAGAAGAAGGTGAGACAGAGATAAGGAGAGAAAAATAAATTATCTCCACTTTAGTTTATGTAATTTAACAATATTACATACAAAAGCATTGTTTTCTGCTTTTTCTTTAATCATAATATTGACTAAATAAAGATTACACAGATAGCTAATCAGTGGAATCAATCAATAGGTTGAAGATAAGGACTAATCGTAAAAAAATAAAAAATTATTTATGTATATAATTAACACCTATTAAAAATACACAATTGGTAAATAATTAACATAAATAAATTCTGATTGACATTCTATTGATACATATTTAAGCTTTCAAAAATAATTTGAAACTAGTTTTAATATATTATATTGACCAATCTTCTTTCTTTCTATAGAGTAGTGAACAAACTGATGGACATCAAGATTCAGAATGTGACATTTATGAAAGTGACTCAGACGCCGAATCACAAGAAGGCGGGGAACAACGTGAAAGTGGAGATGGGCAAGAAGAGGAAAAACCACAGAAGAAGTTGGACGATGACGAGGACAGACGTAACCCACAGTATATACCAAAACGAGGAACGTTTTACGAGCATGATGATCGTACAACTGATGAAGTAACTGAGAATAACACAGAACAGCAAACAAATGCAAAAGAAACCAAGGAAAAGAAGGTGTGGAAAGATAAGGAAGATAGATGGGACCACGACCGATACAATGACGAAGAGCAAGCTCCAAAAAGACCTGAGGAATTGATAGCAACGTATGGTTATGATATTAGAAATGAAGAAGGACCACCTAGAGCTAGAAGGAGAAGAAGATATGGGTGAGTTTATTACGGAGTTTTGTTTTTTTTAAATCCTGATTTTTTTATCACACACACATATGTTACATATATGACATATTTTCTTAGTCGTGGACCTAACAAGTACACAAGGAATTGGGAGGATGAAGACGCTTATGGAAAGACTACAATTGGTAGAGGAAATAACAGACGCTTCCATAAAAATAACGAAGATTTTCCCGCTCTTGGTAATAGTAAGGTAAATGCCGCGAAATATACGACATTGCTCATCACGATTAATTATTACAAGTTTTATAAATTTTTCTTTATGATATAGAATACTCCAAACAAAGTAGAGGAACCTGTGATTTCGTCAGCTTGGTATAGCAGCAAGAATAAAACACAGAGTAAAACCCAAAACTTCCCACCGCTTCAATCCCAACAGGATAATGCAAAAACTAAGCCTGCTATTGCTTCCAATACATCCACGTATGTGTAACAGTTTTGTTGTATTATATTTATAAACAAGTTTTTTTTTATTGGTAACAAGATGGTATTTTGACGAAAATGTTATTATATTACAGAAGTGAAAATAAGGTGTCAGATGAATCCACTAATACATCCTGGAAAAAGGACGGTAGACACATTACTCAAAATCAAAATACAAATGGAAACTCTGGTTCTGGCGGTGATGCAGAAAAGTTGACTAATACCAAGCCATTATCAAGGGAGAATAACAAGAGGAACACCCAGGAGTCTGTAAGCTTGGTCGCGAGTAGGACGCGTGGAAGAGGTTTCAAGTCCAATGCTAATAACAACATGGTCACTAACAGAATAGTTGAGAATAAAGTAAAAGGACGCGGCCCGGGTCCGGTTACAATAGAGAATCGAAGGAATAATACCGCGCAGCACAATGAAGAGCATCAGCTTGCACATGATATGAAACAACAACTTAATATTAATGATGGTAGTCAGTATCATCAACCTGCACGACACAACAGTGAGTTTTTGTCAAGTACAATGATATTTAAGGAATAAGAAATTTTATAGATATATTCATAATAGGTAAATTTTTGATGATAAAGGCTATTATACGTAAAAAGATTTTATGCAAATTAAGTAATCACAATTATGTTTTAGAACACTTGATTGGTCGATATGCTTATGGTTTACGAATTAAATTGTTTACATATACTGGCCTTAAGACTTGTAAAGAATAATTAAAAAATCTAATTTGAAAATTTGATAATTAAATTAATTTTGACATTCTGAGAAACATCTTTAGGGGTATAAATGTAAAAAAAAAGCAATTGTTCCTTCTCTCTTCCAAACAATATCTTATTGATGCTTTTAGCTTAAATTTTTATTACATAGCTGCGATGTCTAATTTTTATTATTTTCTTCTAATTTATATAGAAGGTTTTTTCACATCCGCCAATCAACACAGATCAAACACAGTACCTCCTAGAATGCAACAACAACAACAACAACAACAACAACAACAGCAATCACATCAACAACAAACACATTCGCCGCAGCAAACATTACAGCAACAGCAACAGCAGGATAGTTCTGGAAATAGACCTAAACGATATTCCAGTCTTCGTCAACGACCTACTATTACGGAAACTTCTGCACAACAGAATTATCCATCTCAACATGCCCAACATGGATATTTTCCACCTCAAGGTAATAATGCATATTGATTTTTTTTTATCTTACTTTAACGCATGTTCCTAATCCATTTCTTATGATATATGCTTTTACATGGCCTAATACAAGCATGTACTTAAAATTAATGTGTCGCTTGTGCATACGCGTACCTAGCTGGAAATTCAAGAGCCGTTCTAGAATCTCAAGGTAAGAAAAAATTATATACATACACACATATATACATGTATAAAAATAAAAAATAAATATATAAAAGTTATTTAATTATCTCTATCTAAATATATTAAAAATAATATATTATTTTCAATTATTTGACGAAATATTGCAAACTAATTTATCATGCGTGAACGTTGCAGGTTATCCCCAAAGTCATTTTGAACAATCTTCTCCGGTCGCTCCAGCCACAGCACCCATGGCAGGGCAACCTGTTATTTCTCTGCCGCCTGGTGGACAAGCTGCTAGCTACGCGCCACCACCATTCTTAGTACCACCACCGCAATTCATACCACCTCAAACAGCACCACCTAGTATAATTAATTACGTTCCCGGTCCAAATGGCCCGACATTTCCACCAAACTTTCAAGGCTATCAGGGATATAATCCTTCAGTACAGGTGAGAAAAACAAATGTTTGTAAATACCAAAAGGAAAAAGAGAATCGGAAAAAGATATATGCAATATGAACATTCTGTATTTAATTTTGTATATTTTAATACTGCAGCCTCAGGGTCCACCGCCGCCCCAAGAATTGTTCCAACCGCAAGGATGTACTTACTATAGTCCTGCGCAACAACAGCAGCAACAGCAGCAAGCAGCTCCTTTGCGGCGACCGAAAGCAGCGATACCTATTCTTCCACCACCTGATAATCAGCAAAGCGGTCGAGGAAGAGGTAGAAGCACTCAGTATCAGAATAATCAATCTAGCAGTAACACGCAACAACAGACTGAACAAGAAGCCAAGAGTGGTAACATGGTGGAAAGTGACGAGAAACCTGTGCCGGGACAATTCGACAGTGTGCAAATTGAGCAGCCGAACACATTGAATCAGGAACCCCAGAAGGATCAAGATACGGAAACGATCAGAACAGTGAACGATATGGACGAGAAGGTAGAGATAATTACCAATGCTGACTCTCATATAAATATTGATGCGTCACCCGTTAAAAAAGATAACTTGGACGATAGCGTCAGTGTTAAGGAACTATTAGAAGCGACTTCTAATGAAAAGAATACGGTTTCGCACAGTCCAACGACATTGGCTAGCGTCGAGACTGAATTAGGTAACATTGAATCCGCGATTCCCGAAAGTACCATTGTTGAGAAAGCTGCAGCCTAAAAAGTGTGATTATTATTGCGCTTCGTATTCACACGTCTCTCCCGCGATTTACTGCGAGTTGAAGTGTCACTTCGTGGATTATACACGACGCGCGTGGGCGAAACGTCTTATAGTTCAATTCGCATATCCATAATTGTATATTTATTCTGTAATGCAATTGCGCATGCAATCTTCGCTATAGAATCAGGGACGCAGAATAATTATTAATTCAGCTAATTTATATTCGGGGAAATGTGTTAGTGAATTCATTATGTTTTATAACAGATCGAGAGACGTTAAAATTATGTTCTCAAATGCAGTTATTGCAGTAAACTAGTTATCTGACGTATACGTCGCGATTCATAACTTTAAGGCCGCTGATCCGCCACTATAGCCATTTATACATTAATTTAAAAGCGAAAAATTGTATGTGATTTATTTTGCGGTATTTATAATTTATATTCTTTATATATCAAAATTAATTAGAGCCTTACTCGTATGAGTCTTGTTGAAAATGAGCTTATGAAATACCGTATGAGGTAAGAGACCAAGATGATACATACAATGCATGTAAATTAAATTAAAATTGCAAAATAAAGTAAAAAAAAAATCCATTCCCGTAAAAGAAAAAAAAATAAGATTCGTTATTTTCCGATATTGTCGGGAAATTTTCTTCTACTTTATTGAAATGGATTTTTTCGTACAACAATAACATGACTGCAGTGACGGATTCGAAGCTTTGAAAGCTTTACTGATTATTACTTAGGGGTAAAAGTTTTTCAAAGAATCGATACGCGAATTAAATTAAATGCTATTAAATATAAGTTTAAAGCATGTAAAAAGCGTATTAACTTATAGGAACTATAATCCGTATTTGTAATAATATCTAAAATAGTAGCCTCGTGCTAACGTTATTGTCTGGAATATGAAATAACGATGAAATAACTTTTCATATATGAAGTCTACCTATAACTGGTCATTATTTAGCGAGGAATGTTAATCGTGTACTGATATAATATACTGGGCAGCTCTGCGCGGGCCACGACTGCGACACAATATAACTAACATGTTATGATCCTATATACATATACTTTTTCAATGTTATGACTACCTACAGAGCAGAAATGTTTGTAGTTATAATATTAACAAAATACAATTCATTGAGTAACGTAAGTGTGCATCTTTGTACATGTATAAAAACAATTTTCTTTTTTTTTATATGCAATTTGAATAACATTTAACATTTTTGTTCTTTCCATCTGCCTTCTTAACGTATTTCTGCACTCCTCTTTCGATTCCCACCCTCGTTTGAAAAAAAAGAGTGAGATAAACTAACTAGTTAGTTTATTTTACGGGATAGAAAACGTAAGAAAGCTACAAAAGTGAGAAAACAGATTTAATGTCTATTTTTCTTTCATATTATTTTTAGTTTTTTCTTTCATATTATAATGAATCCTTCTTTATTATATTTTATTTACATGCTTTAAGTTTCACTGGCCGTTTTTGCATGTTCTATGGAGATACAAATCGACCTTTGTCATAAAGATAGAGTACAGAGTATTTTTTTTCTTTCGCAATATTAATATTTGCGCATCTAAGGTCTAACTTAAATATGCTAGAGTATTTAATTAATGAAGTAAGACGATTATTTTTGCAAATATATTACAAAAACAGCGAGAGAGCGATTGAGACGGAACGATCAATTAATTTTGTTTCTAACTCGCCATGATTGATTACATTTAAGAGTATAACTACATAAAGTTATACAAAGCCTTAAACAAAATTTTTTGAGAAAAAAAATGGAAACTTTCGGTAGGAAATTTATACATGATAAACGGCACTTCTACGCAATAAAAATGTAAATGTAAGTGAAAACGAAGCGAGCATAAACACATTATTCGCTGTAGCATATATTGTACAGTTTATAAAAACTTATATATAATACCACTAGTAATAACTTTATATAATATAATTTTAAGCTTTAAACGTTAGGATTACATACACTTTATTAAACTTTGTAGATATATTTTGATTGAAATGTCAAATGTATTATAGGAAAAAAATAAATATTGCAAGTGACACGAAAAAAACGAGGTATAACTGCTTTAAGTGCCGGAATAGGTATATAACGCTTTATATTTACACTCTTACGTTTACTTTTTTGGAATTTTATCGTGCGTCTCTTTAGGTCTCCACTCAGTTATCGATCTGTGATGTACATTGTTATCTACATCTATATCTACAGTATAATAAAGTAAAATGTTTAAAGCAGCAAATCTTAACGATATCGTGCGGACTCATGTACATTATATAATTGCCTATTACATTAATTGAATACTATACAACTCAGTTCATCTCGATTCAACAGAACTTCGAGAAAGTTCATTGCGAACGAGGTTTACTTATATAACAATTTATATAGGAACTACTCGATTACACATTTATGGATGTACTGAGCTATTGACTTTAGAGAGATTATACCTTATTCGCTGTACACAAAGTGCAACTCGCCAAATATTCTTTTAATTACAATTTTCTTCGATAATAAATATGAACTTTTTCTTCTGAAAATGATCATTTGCGCAATTTTTCTCAATTTTTACCTACTTTTGCCCGTTTCGTCTTAATCTCTTAAGAATCAGTTTCTGTTAATCGTTAATTATTTGAAAATCTGTAGATGTCTTGGTATCGTTAAGAGAAACTGGATTCCACTGGTTGAAGAAATTGTGTAGAAGAATATTGGCGCAGATTTAAGATACGAGAAACGAGACTCACTCCTGTTTCTCGTTGTTTTGCGCTATGTTGATTATGGCACTGAGAGGTATGACCTCGGTGCTTTGCCGAACATTATTGTTATTAGACATGGTATGAATCGACCTCGTATAATTCCGAGATCTCTGTTTGAGCGGATCCGAGATACCCGTGACGTATCCGCTTTTATGGACGCAGGTCCCACCGTTGTGGGAACATCGGAAGGTACGCCTGAACTCCTTGCGAAACTTCCCTGTAAAAAAAAACGTACACGTATCGTATAATCATCATTTGAGTTTCAGATCGAGATATCTATCTTTGTATAACGTAAAAGAAAAATGCGACATAGACGAAAAATATAAAAATGCGAAGCGTTGAATTGTGATCATTTGCTTTAAAAGAAAATATAATAAGATTTGTGGAGATCTTTGACTTTGTAAAATACATTAAATTTAAATGTTGCGGAATTTTCTTAGCATAGAGGACATTGCAGTCAATAGATAAGCGTGAGAAAAGTGAAATGTAAAAGGCTTATGCGGTAAAAATTTGACACTGTACATTCCAATATCTACAATATCTACAGTCTTATACTGTTCAGGATTTTAGTTTTACATAAAGGAGTGAATTATTAAATATTATGTTACGAAAAGATTGATTGGAAGGGAATAAAATATAATCGAGAATTTTTAAGGCAATTTGCTAACTTCGAAGATTAGACATATTTAATTTAATTTTACTTAGTATATTATTTTTGGCAGCGTTTCACTTGACGCTCGTAAAAAACTCTTTAAATCATTTTATTCTTATTGCTTATCAAATGTTAAACAAGGACAAATGATGCTCGCGAGCATTGTAAGCGTCAAATGGAATGCATCCTTATTGAGAAGAAATTGCAGCGATTGTTTGAAATAACAATTTCCCGATATTTCAAATTTCATTTCTGAACTAATCGACTGCTGCGATTGGTCCACCGTTGCGTTGCGATCACTCCGACAGATCCGATCACTGTGATTACGCATCGATTGCAATATCGAAAGTACGATATTGCGATTCTCGAAGTTGGTTTGCACGGTCAGAAGTCCTGAAAGCAACGTATCTTGGTGGTGCGTTTGAATCTCTCGGCGTCTTTCCATTACTCGTTGATTTTCATCGTTCGAAGGTGAGTTCTGTACGCCAGAAATGTCAGAGATGTCGCGCACGAAATTTGCTGCAAGGTAAACGCCATGTGCGATCGCTATTACACACAAGCATCGTGTGATTTCGTTATCGGCGGCATTGAGGTACTTGGCGGGATGGCAGACGGGAGTTGAGCTCCGTTTTTGTCTGTTTTTTCTCCGAAGTAAATTGAAGTATATCGAAAGGATGTGATGTACAACTGCTTTCAGGTTTATCATTAGGCTGGAATCAGATTACGCATTGAAGAATGAGATTGAAGATTGAAAGATTGAAGTTTGACCAATCAGAACAAAAGGAGCCAAAACTTCTTTGTCCTCATTGGTGAAATTTCAATCTTTAATCTCAAGCTTCAATAAGGTACGTTTGGAGAGACGCTATTTGTGTCATTCTATCCTTGTTTTACATATAATAAACAATGAAGATAGAATGACAGAGTAGCATTAATAGCGTCTCCCCGAACGCACTAATAGTCTGATTCTGGCCTGTTCCTTTTTGACTGAATTTTTGCACCAGTTCATTTTTCTTCCTCTTCTTTCCTCCTGGATAGAAAAGGAAGAAAGATGAACTAGTGCAAAAGTTCAGCCAAAAAGAATAGGCCTATTGTTTCATAATTAGCCTGCTTGAATTACATCGTTTTGGATTCTTCTTTCCTTCGTTTTCCTTTTTTTGTAGAAATTTCTACGTAGGAGATATGATGGAGAAGAATATACATCGGTGATGACGGATCACGAACAGGAAATTGGCATTCATCAGCCGGCTAAAGTAATTTGAATTTGAATCTTGATCCTTTTTGTCCCCAATCGTAGAAATTCCAATTTTTTATTCTCAATTTCCAGCACTATTGACATGAGTTTAAGCTTTGTGTCCACAATGTTAAAAGTCGCTCCGAGATTTCGATCAGATACCAAAATCATTTCAATAACCGCCACAGTGCGATTGGTCAATTCTTTCTCTGTTCGAGATTGATTTTTAGTATCGTGGACACAAGGTTTCAGTGGCTTAAAAAGCCAATATCAGAGATTACGCATTGGAGATTAAATTCAGCTAATCAAAACGGAAATTGAATTAAATTAAATTAAATTATTTTATTATTAATATTATTAATACTATTATTATTATTATTAACATTAATAATTATTTTATTATTTAAATTATTCTTAAAATTCTATTAAAATTTAATTTATTTGATTGATCGAACTCTAATTTTTAGTTCGCTCTCTCAATTTGCAGCGCTCGATACGGGCTTAATGTGCGCCATTGTGCTGGAATTCGCATTAGATTTGTTCGTGTTGCTTGTAAAAATATTTGCACTTGGAAATATTTTTGCCTGTTGATTGGCTGCAGAGCAGAGAAATTCCCGAATTGTTCTGTCCTATAATCAGTCAACTAGTGCTTAAAAAATTCGTCGTACGACACATCAAGTGTTGGTCTTCAGTGAGTAACAAATGGTCTGTTTTCTGTTCCTGCACTAGACTGTACTAGAACTCTCTTTCTCGCTTTCGACAATTATCAAACATACACTTATTTCACTTCAAGTTCCAAAAGTATACACTGATTCAGTTACAGAAAACAGACCTGAAGATAAAACGACATTTCGGTCATTGAAGAGAGAGAAAGCGAAGATTCTAAGTGTAAAAAGTGTAATCAACGCGGGAGACGCAACGATGTCGAAATTACTGCGCCGCGGTTGGCCCGTTTCAACACCCGCGAAACTCCTACGTCACGCGCTTCCGCCGCCGCGATTGGTCCGCCGCCTCGATACTTCAATACATTTCAAATCGCTGCCAGTTTTGGGAGACGCCACGACGGTTCGCGAAGTCGCGTTCGAATCACTCGATGTTTCTCGCGTAGTTTTGCTTTGTCAAGAGTGAATCTCGCGTGTAAAGATCGAATTGTTCGAAATGTCGTATGAAATTCGCATTATAACTTGAGTTATTTGAGCGTCGTGCACGATCGCCAGTTTCGCGACTTTGGTACTTATTGATGCTCTTCCGCGCTTTGATTATTGCGGGTCGGTGGAGAGGAATTGGAGTCGATTGGAATCATTCCCGGTACTTATCGATTTATCTTCTCGCCGAGGTGCATCGGAAGCGTGATTACCGCTAGGTAATTATTATATTCGTAACTTAACTGCATTGATTTCATCTTTTTGCAACTCACCAATTTTTGGTCTAAATAAATATTTCGAACTTCTCATATGCGCAAGATGGCGGCTCTGTTCGCAATTCGTACCAGTCGCGTCTCTTTTAGATTTATTCTAATGACGCCCGATGCCGCTGTATGCTCGATTTTAATTAAAGTCTGATTTTTCATCGGAATGATCATAACGTCACGAAATATTGAGAGAGAGAGAGAGAGGGGGGGAGGGAGAGGAGAGGAGAGGGGGGGAGAGGGAGAGAGGGAAAGAGAGAGAGAGAATTACGATATCACCGAAGATTTCGAATTTTCAGAGTGATTTTGATTCAATTGAGCGTGAAATCAGTAAATTATAGATAACTTTTTCAGTTCAGTTTTTCTTCAATTTCATTAGATTCATGAAGGTGATGCGAATGCTACGTGCGGTTATCATTACGTACCGATGTTGTTTGATAATAAAGTTACATCAGGGAGTTGCTGAGTGCGGACACAAAATTTTTGACGTTAATTGAATCTGTTCTACTAACGCAAGATTAACTTTAATCTCGGTTCAATTTATTCTTTGTTTTATCTAATGCCCGTTTCTATCATCGTAGTTTGATTTTAATCTCGATTCAATTAACTCTTTATTTTTTTCCAGCCCTAAAAATTAGGAAAAGATAAAGTGTAAGTTAACTGAGATTAAAGTTAATCTTACATTGATGGAATCGGTCCTTACGTTTATGGCACGTTTCTGTCAATATAGATTAACTTTAATCTCAGTTAAACTTACTCTTTATCTTTTTCTAATTAAATTTTCAGAACTGGAAAACAATGAAGAGTTAGTTGAACCGAGATTAAAAAATTAAACTATATTGGTAGAAAATGGACCTTTGTCTATTAATGCAGAATAACATTAATCTCAGTTTAACTTACTTTTTATTTAGTTCTGTTATGTGTGTGTTCTCAAGATCGGAAAAAGATAAAAAGTAAATTAAACCGAGATTAAAGTTAATCTACTGTTTGTAGTACTTTGATAGAAATGGACATTAATCAACTTTTGTTCTATCTATCGATTGCTTCTATCGAATATTTGTATCTACTTAAAACGCTTTGTTTGATTTTATCACTAGATGTTCTATCAATAGCTGGATAAGCCTCCGGATACTAGGAGATTTGGAACTAATTCTCTTGATCTTCTCTGAAGAAGTTTGAGAAGTTAACTTCGATATCATTGGCTTCTGCGTTCAGTGTCGCTTTCAGGAGCTCGTTTCCACATATTTCAATTAATCCCTTATTAGATACACTCAACATGTCCGTGTCGTTGTTCGTTCACACACATTAATTCTTCTAACAGTTCCTTCAAAGGTATTTTGAATTTGACTATTTTTTGTATTAAACTATCACTATTCGTTTTCATCGCACTTTCGATATTCATTTGTAACGTTTTCCTTTCTTTCAAACAATGAACACTTGTTTCACGCGAAACGCGATAATTTTGGAACGTAATAATTATTAAAGTCAATTATCAGAGTCATTTTTCGCGATTATTATCATTTAAGAGTAATAAATCTCTTGCACGTGGAAAGACGTGCGTTTCTTTCAAAGTATCAACGGTTTGTTTGACAAATTATATAATTGTGTGTTGTATGCATATCTGATAATTACACAATCGCTAATATCAAATGTTAATATCGTGATTTCAATATCAGTTATCCGGAATCGATCGAAATCCTCTCGATGAAGTTATTATTAAATATTTCATTAAATAAATACAGGGAAAGCATAATTGACGTACGATTATCCTCGAATAAATCAACAATCTGCTGTGTCAATTATTTTCTGCATTTTTGTCACTAAAAGTAATATCTTCAAGGCGCCCCTGGCTATTATAATAGCCAGGGGCGCCTTGAAAATATTAAAAAAAAGATAAATCTATTAGAGCTTCATATTTGAAAATGG